TCACTATTATTATTACAGTGTGGATGAGGTAAACATTTAAACAACATCTGAAGAGGAAGCATAAAGTTAGTCGGGTTTTAGGTAGTGTAGTTAATCATTGGGATTATTCTGTAGAAAAGAACTGAAGTCTGGCAAATCACCGTAGCACAAAGCAGGAAGTCCCTGACAAGAAACTAGCGGAGTTTTAAATTCCTGATTTCTTTGCAAAGGATACGGCTTGTCTGGTCATAAAATGGATGTTGAAGTGGACGGACGTTCAGTGATGGCGAAAAACCCACATGAATTTTTCAAGACCGACTGCAGTCGAACTGTCTGCAGAGGGATTAAGAGTGCGACAAGATCGGACTACAACAGACGCCAGATATATATGTGGCGTCTGGACATATATCTTGTCCAAATACGGGGGGCTATATATTCGGTATGATTTTTCAAAGGCTTTATATTATCCCTGCCAACACCTGGCCACCCGGTCACCATACCTGCCGCCACATGCCCACACTTATCCCCCGCCAAAGAACCGGTAAGCAAATTTCTCGAATTGCCTATCCTACACAGCATGCTATTTACTTCATGTGATTTTTACTATTCAAATCGTACGTATTAGATACAGTGTATCATTACTTCTGTTACGCCTGCATTACGTATGTCTTACGAAAGTTTTTTTATGCAGGAACTACCAATGGCCAGTGCAATTGACTTCTCATCCTGTATACGAAGGTCGCTGAAACCCCCATGATCCAAGACAGACTTTGTACATTTACATTTTTTGACTTACGTATTCAATAACTCGTCCTTCCACAATACCGCCTTCCGACTTTAACATCTTCGGTATCCGCATTTGCCCTGAAGTGGGCCACTTACCGCCGTAGCCTAGCTTGCTTGGGACGTAGAGGTTCGCTGTGACTCGTTTCGGGGTTTTACGTTAGGCGACCGTTCGTCATGGTTGGCGTTTATGGCCAAAAAAATCGAGGCCGCGATGAGTGGAAAAAAACGAGAAAAAGCCCGCGCGCAGAATTTTTTCCAAGGTGTGGCCAAGTGTGGCCAATGTGTTGATGGCTAGACCATAGCCCCACCATTTGGCCACACCTGGCCGCACCATAGCCGCACTTGGCCACACCATATTTGCCTCGGCCAAGTGCGGCTGGTGCTGGCAGGGATATTTCTTACTATGCGTAATTTTGAGAGTGGAGGAGACAGGGCAATATGACATACTCAGAATTGTCACGTAATATGCTTCTCCGACAATATGGGGCCAACTTACACCAAAGACAAGCGGTTACTAGTATTTAAAGTATTCAGACTAGGTGAAGTCGAACCGCGATTCTTTAAAATTTCAAACTACTAGATGGCAAATATGCTAATAATCCATCCTAGGCAGGAAAAATCGATTTTACGCGTTTTCTAAAAGTAAACGTCGGGCGAAATTTGTAACTAAATCTCACGCCATTTTTTCGTAGCCGCAAGTACATGATAAAAGGAATTAGGTCGAAAATCTGCTTTAAGTTTGACAAATAATAAACTAAAATCATTTCGTTCCTCTTTGACTTTGAAACCATTCTCAAATGGTAAGCAGGAGTATTCTTTGCGCACAAAGAAATAAGGAATGCGTTTTCTTAGAGTGTTTACCTAGAAAACACTGGGAGTATTGTGCAGACTGATGATTATGTGTTGACATAAGTTAGTTAACCAGCTAACTTTGCGCCATTTTCTAGCTAGACGGTTCGTCTCCGTCGTTTGATTTCGACGCAAGTATGCGTACATATCAAACTGAGAAATTATAACGAAAACTGATAAATACTCTTTCCTCTTTGCCTGGTTACTTCATTGGGTTCAGATGTGGGTATGTTTTCGGAGTACTAAGCTATAAACACCAATTGGCATGTTTTATTGAGTGTTCGGTTGTCTTTCCGTTACATTTACGTTGCTGCTTCCCGTTATCTACAAGTTTTTAACCAAGTATATTTCTCGCCAGCTTGCAGATTCTGAGCCACTTTAGGAAATTCGCACCGCATAACTAACCAGGATATCTTGAGGTAACAATGTTAACGTCCAAAATTAAGACAGATGGAAGCATCAATCAAAAGGTAGGCTGTAAGTTCGCACGTTTCGTTCTGTTAGCGATGAAAGGCGAAAAGTCGATTTCAAAGACTGCCTTATCTCCTTACCATTGAGGATCGACTTTCTCGATGGTTGGAATATACTTCTTTGCCGAAGTCGAAGCTATTACGGTGGTAAAGGCTCTCCTAAGTCGCTATGATTTCATCTTCGTTGTTCTCTCCACCATGACGACTGACTGCGGTGCCCAATTTAATCTCACCTGTCCCCGTTTCTTCTCTCCGTTTTAGTTTGTGCCCGCATCCGAAAAGCAGACTATCGCCCGTCAGCCAACGAGATAGTCGAGTATACATTGTCTGTTCCGGCGCTGAACCGGTGTTCCGCGACGCCGTTCGAATTTCTAGTAAGATGGTTTCGCTGACCTTTCGCGGTGCGGTTGCGGATTCTGTCCACCTACTGCACCGTCTCTGAAATTTAGCGGACCCTCTCTGTAATTCTGTTCAGGCCATTAATCTCGGAGTCTTACCTCGAGATGGACTTGACGACATACTCTCTCGTCTGTCTCCATTATGATCGAGGCCGTCGGCCACTGAAACCACCCTAGGACGGCCTTTGTCGTCTTGTCTGTCGGGTGACCAAGATGTTCTGCATCTGACGCGAGCTCGCGAGAGGATCGTGAGAAAAGACATACTTAAAGCAGCTGTCTGGACACATTTCCGGATGAGCCTATGGTTCCCTACACCGTACCACAGGCCGTGGAACTCGCTTCCAAGCGAGATGGTGACGGCTGACACAGTTTGTGTGTTTAAAAGAAAACTTGCTCGTCTAGTTTTCGACAGAAATCGGCTTGTACAGCATGACTATGCACAGCCAGTTTTGTAAAATCTGTCATATACAATCTCCCGCACTAATTTACAGAGACCCCACGCACTACCTTATGATTACGATTGAACTGTGACCCAATTACATTTTAAATGCCTGCAATTTTATTTTATTTTTGAGTATGAATCTGCGAAAGCACTGTACATAAATAGGGTCATCAAGGGCTCTGCCTGTAACCCTTCAATATACATACATACAAAGTACTTTTACACCTCTTTACCTGTTATTCCTCCATCCCACCCACGCCCTTTTCGTATATGTCCTCTGTCACCAAATACGAATTCCTTATCAAACTCCACCTCTTCAGCCTCAGGAAAATCTTAAACTTCTCGCACTTATCTTGCACAGATCACCGATTGTAGACACAACATTAACATTTCCAATCGTCTCTTTATTAAGGAGAGCGATCGAAATTGGAAAAGGCCTCAAGACTTTACCTTAAAACTGCTTAACTAATTTCCTCTTGAGTATGGGCAGATCCGAGGAGATCTCATACGCGCGTAACGGATTATGAGGAACGGGGACTGTCACCTGAACTTCGACTCTCTTTGAGCTGTCAATGAGAACAGGAAGGCTGCCCTCACAGTGGAAGACAGCTAACCTCGTTCCATTGCATAAGGGAGGTAGCAGAATGACGGCAAGCAGCTTTAGGCCTATTAGCTTAACTTGCCTGCTATGCAAAACGATGGAAGCTATAGTAAAGAGCGCTATACAGCAATTTTGTGAAGAAAATAACATATTGCAGGACTTTCAACATGGCTTCCGGAGAGGACGTTCCTGCCTCTCAAATCTGCTAGCTTGTCTGGAGATCTGGACTAGGGCTCTAGAAGAAAGATTTGAGGTCGATGTCGTATACATCGATTTCCGCAAAGCTTTTGACACTGTCCCGCACCAACGTCTTCTTCACAAATTGCGCGCCATCGGCATCCGGGGAGATCTTCTGAACTGTATTAGGGCGTTTCTGGTTGGTCGGACACAACGTGTCTGTATCGGGGATGATATGTCAGAATGGGTGACATATTTGCGCGAAGATAACCACTTCTAGTAATTTAAAATAGCTGAACCTATAAGAGATCTTCTAAAACTGCACATTGGTCGCATCACGGACACCAAAAACAAAAAATCCATCCAGCCTAAAGTGTGTGCTTTCAAGTAATCATTTATAGGCCTATTAAATTTTTTCTCGAAGCTTTATCATTAGGTATAACAAAAATGCGCCTGTCAACTTTTTTATATAAATGTGCTGGCTCCTCAAATCTATAAAACATTTTTAAGTCTCAATTGAAGTTCAGATATATTTGGACAAGGGGGGCCACACAGGTCATCTCCTGAGACATTCCTTGGACTCGTCAGTCGAACATGTTTAAGAACCATTTCGCAAAATTATGCGCAAAAACTATCCCGATTGATGTCGATTTACAAATTTAACATAGGAGTCACGGAGTTGCGACCAGCAGAGGAACACAATTCTGCGAGTAATTCACGTCCAAACACGCAAACATATTACATGTCAAACAGCCATTTCATCGACTAAGTATCGCAAGGGGAGCCCCTGAATATGCATTATCAAAACAACACATTTACAATTAGCATGTATTGCCTCATGTCCGCAAAAACCTTCCGCCTCTAGCACTTACGTATGAGCACGGCTCGCAAGCGACTGGACTGTAAGCGAATAATTACTCTAGAACAGTCGATCACAGGCGCCTCCGAACTCCGCACTCTCTAGGTTGACGCTGACTGACTTTCACACAGCCGACCGTGTGTTCCGAGAATCTGACTACCACCGAGCCCCTGTACAGAATGAAGATCTCCTATTAGTGCCATTCCCCTTCTCATCCAAAACGAAACGGGGCATAATTATTGAGGTGCCCTGAGTACATTCACAACTCGAACGCTAAAAAATATCTGGCCTGAGAAGAAAGTAGACTTAGTTCCAGAAGGAATCTTCAAAGGGTATTATGGAGGATATTCAGACGGCCTTCTTGAGCTTATTCTGATGGCAAATCTTCGTGCTACCTCCGCATACGGTATCTCTTGATAACTTTAGTCCAAATCCTCACTTAACACTCCTCCTCCTCCTCCTCCTCCTCCTCTTCCTCCTCCTCCTCCTCCTCTTCCTCCTCCTCCTCCTCCGAGTTTTCCTCTCCCTTAATCAACCCTTTTCCTATTGTTCACACAGTCTGCCTATGCTTTTTATGTTAATGCGAACAGGGAAGACCCTTTGTGACCGAAATCAGATTTCAGAGATCGAGGTTCGGATATAAGTTCTTTCCGTCTGATAAACGTTCCAGACTGTACGACCACGACGACGAAGTCGAGAAAGCTTTTTGCATCAAGGAAATTTCGGGAATTTCTTGCATTTCTTCAAACTGGAGGAGTTGTGGTTCTCCTGACGTTTTGAAAGCATTTTGTAGATTTTTGATCGTCCTTTGATATCAATATGAAGTAAACAACGACTCCCCAAACAAGAGGTCACCTTAAGCAACAGCATTCCGAGAAGTGGGCGTAATCGATAGTAACGTCTGGGTTTCAAAATGAACTCCATTATTTCTTCATATGACATTTAATAGGTTTTCTTAGTCTATACGTTAAGATACAGTTGGTTGGGAAACCGACTGTCACCAAAACCATTTGCTCGAAATGCAATTAGCATGCTTCCGCTAAGGGCTCTATTAGAACTTCAAGTGACTCACATCAGAAACGAGAATGCCCATCAGATCCTTGTAAAAATAAATATGACATAATGTTTCGGTCGGAGGACACAGTTCAAAATAATAAGTGCAGATACTAATTTAAAGCGCATGGATGGAATTTCAGCAGTTTACGGATATATATCCTCAAACCTGGAATACAGTCATCGACCGAATCCACAGATACTACGACCAAATACCAAAAGGTGTTCGCGATTTAAAAGGATTATTTAAGTTTGTGACACTGACTACTATGTGGCGTAACTCCCAGTTGTTTCAGTCATGCCACGACTTCGGCTTTAAAATGCATGTTTCCGAGAACCTGCATATACCATATTCGATAAAAAAAGTTATTACCTAACTAGCAAGGACGTTTTGCATTGATTTTATACGACCATAAAAGCTCAAATATGTTTTAGGGAAAACGATCAAAAACATGCTTTCTTGTACTCATTTGGCAGCAGACCACGTCTTTCTTGGATTTTATACCCGAAAAACGGTATCCTTTGGCTTAGAAAAGTTTGTAGTGATGAGAATTTATAAGACCGCTAAATACACGGTATTCGTAGAGTACTTGTGTTTTGCGCATTTACGCACTTCATGTGTCTGCCACGAAACCAAGTTTCAATATCAGGAAAATACAAGCTGTAACTCAGAAAGAAGACATAAATGCGAATCTACCACTCTTCTGAGCTTAAAATCACTTTCGAATGCGGCACTAGTCATGTCAAGCTGAAACATCCATCATGTGATGCATTCACAAGGACTTCCAAAACGCAGATCGCGTGAAAGACGTTTAAAGAGTCCAATTAAGATCTAGCAACAGCGACTACCTGAAGGGGACCGAATTAGGGGAGCAAACGGTAACCACAGATAGTCCGTTGACGGTTAAAATGTTTGCTTCGTTACCAAGCCGTAAACTCCCCAGAACATACTACTTAAGACAAAAAATTCATAATCACATCACCTGAAACCATTGTATCTACAGATGGATGGGATAACTGGTAGGAAACACGACGCAGAGCCAGCTGGTGTACGGCAGCATGTCGGCCTTTTGCTTTTATTACAACTTCCCAACCAATGGAAAACGCAAAACGGCAACCGTATGGAGAAGGACCCCCTTTACTGTCGGTAGACTGTGGGTCGTGTCACAAATGATTGGTGATAAGGGGAGTTTTACGGGTGGGCCAGCACATTAGACGGTAAGCTGACAAAGTGTGGGAAAACACAGAAGTCGTTTGGATTTTTCCCGAAGCACTCATCGTACGCTTTCGTACGACAAGGGAAATGAGCGCAGTAATTAAAAACAAACAAAAAGTAAACTTCAAAAAACAAGGGAGTTCGAGTGATGGTTTGAAGTCATGGCAAGTGGTCGTTATTGGCAGTGGAGTGTCTGCAAAGGCCTGTGAATGGATGCTAAGATAAAAGCCCATATGACGTGCTCCACAGACTGACGTCTGTTAAGCGCGGTCCTTTTCCATACCGTTGTCCGCAAAGCAACAGTTAACGACAAACGAAAGTCTTATTTAACAAAAACATCGAACGATGGAACTGAACACATTATGTTAAGGGAATATTCAGTGGTAAAATTTGAAACATCCGACGTACACACACATATATTCTGGACATAGAACAGAAATAACGAACAGTCAAATAGAAACGGCTGTTGCTGACATGACAGTCCGCCCAGACTGTACCGTCACTGTTGGTCGCATAACAATGAGTGAAGCTTTACGGAAAATAGCGGAATGACGAAGACAATAATGATGGGGTGAGCGCTTCAAGTTTTCACAACAATAGTGGTGAAAATGCGATTCCCGGGTGGCATATCAAAAGAGGAGGAGGCGTTCACCGGGAGAGGTGTATTTGAGGTCTGACGTTTCGGGTAGTCGTTTCTTCTACCCATCTTCAGAGACTGAGCAGTAGTGCACACAGCCTTCCTTTTATGGCGCACTTTGTCCAATGCCTGGCCCATCAATGCCGCCTGCGTGGCTGCATCCGACCCGCATGTCACCGTGACCTGAATCCCGCCCAACTTCGTCGGCCGCGGTGATAATTGGCGGCCCCGATTGTCCTGCGCCGTGACTGTCCCCCGTGAAGAATGTCCGTAAAACCAGATAAGGGGGAGGTAAATTGATGTGGCGGTTGACAGAACAGTCTGTAGACATCCAGGCTTCTTGCACCTGCCTTGCCGTATGATCATCACCTCGGCCCACAATTTCAACGGCGTCAAAGTTGAAGACGTGTCCCATTTGGGCGGCATGGGTTGCTACCTCCGACTTTGGGTCCAGCCTTCGCACGGCCAACTTATGCTCTTGCATGCGCGTTTGCAGCCGTCGGCCGGTTTCCCCAACGTAGTTACACATTCCGCAGCTGCACTGAAGTCGGTAGACAACAGCCGACATCTCCTGTTTAGGGATCGGGTCTTTTGGCCGCATCACTTGCCGGCAGGATTCAGGTCACGGTGACATGCGGGTCGGATGCAGCCACGCAGGCGGCATTGATGGGCCAGGCATTGGACAAAGTGCGCCATAAAAGGAAAGCTGTGTGCACTACTGCTCAGTCTCTGAAGATGGGTAGAAGAAACGACTACCCGAAACGTCAGACCTCAAATACACCTCTCCCGGTGAACGCCTCCTCTTCTTTTGATATGCTTCAAGTTTTGTTCCAGCTGTCGGTCAGCGTTAATATCTGTCTTACCTCACACTTTTCACTCCCCTACCACCTATGGGGACCTCAAAAAAAGTTGAGCACAGTGATCAGTCAAGACTTCTGAAGTCCAATGAAATCGCCATCTCAAATCACAACTGACAGTCTGCTACCACAGTTCACGGACAACCAACTGCACTTCTTATCGAGCCACAAGCTGTAACTCGCGTTCGGGCTGAAAGTATGAGCGAATGAATTTGGACCGCTGAGTTATAGATCGGTGGATGGTTTAGCCGTCTGGTTTGTTTCGTCGTAGAATTTCGTCAGGTGCCGAGCCTAACCAAAATGGATTTATGACGCTACGACGTAAGGCCTAGAGAGTGTCTACTCCAAATCAGCCGTGCTGAAATGGGTGGAACAAGCACTGTGGCGACCAACCAGAGTCAGCAAATTCATACCTTTCTGGAGCCACTAAAACCGTTTCATTCGCACAGTGGGCTTTTTTCATTTCACAGAGCTGTCTTCGACATCTGAAATGGGACTGACACACATTTTTGCTGTCCTAGATGATCCTGCCCTAGCAGTTCTGAACTAGGAAGAGGACAGACACATTTCGTGTGGCGTGGTGGGGAATACAGTATGTTCGTGAAAACAAGTTATCACAAAGATTGATGTTTCAGGTGCAATCCATACTAAGTGACGTTAATTACAGGTGAGCATTTTACCTCGTATTCCAATCTGGTGAACACGGCCAACTCTCCCCATGGTGTTGAGTGGTACTGACCATTGCACGGTCAGGAGCCGAATTTCGGAGTTTTTCCTCAGATTCAGCAAAAAACCGCGCAGGTGCGACAATCAAAGCAATTTGCCGATTTCAAGGCAAACGATGAAAGGGTTATAGTTAGAACCTACGAGGCATACATCTTTAGACAGATAGCAAAAATGTCAAGCCCAGCAAGTTGTCCAAAGCGACAAACGTCATGAGTTCCTTATTGCGGACTCCCTGCGAATTTCTTGGAGATTCGTATAGTAGGTGGCACACAGTCGGCATCTGATATCAGTCAACTTGCGGGTTATTCCGGAAAAGGTATTCAGCCTAAACGGTGAGAGAAGAAGAAGTGTTTAAGCCTGTCAAGCCCGGAAACATACATTTGATGTGATAAGATGTTTTTTTCATTAGTACTCTTTGCAAAAGCACTGCGTACTGATAGTCATCTGAAGGAGACTTAAAAGCATATATTTCGATATGTTCTGCCTTGAAAAAAAACCTTTGACAGTGGGATCTGCCAGGGTCTCATGGACCCATTGATAACTCATAAAAACTCTCTTTTGATATGTGACATAATTCGCATGCCATAGTTTCCACCTTTCTGAGTTTCGACTTTAGTCTCCATTAGAAACGCTATATCCGAAATCTCCAAAAGGGGCGACAGATAGACAATGAAAATAGACAACCAACTATAATTCGAGCACAGGTTGCGCAATACCTCTCGATGGGCTGGTAATCATTACCAGAGAAACCCGTGGTTTGTAGAGTTTGCGGCTTTCATTTGTGCAGTTGGAAAGGCTTTTTTACATGAACCCAGTTTCGCTCCAACGTTGCAGCCAGAAAAATCTTTAACTCCGAAACTGCGTGCTTACCTTCGACAGCATTACTATTTTGTTATCCAATGAACTTACGACATTTTCTCCTCAATATGTTAACAAGCCGCAGTCTTTCTCGACTTACACTTTTATTCAACTTCAGATATGAACGAAGTTTGAGAAGTTTACATTGACGGTACTTGTTTTCGGTGGGTAGTTCTGATTAATGCAGTAAAACATTTAGTGCACTTGCAATAAAGGTACGTAATGGAATCTTGAATACATGCATCGTGTTTAGGTGCGAAATTGCCCTGTTTTTTGACTGCTTATTGACGTGCGGCTGCCACATTTGTGAAATTGCTATTTCCTTTTGCTCCACATTTACCCGGCCGATGGCTTTTTCGAGGTTGGACATTCAACTGACTGGACCAGGAGTATGATTTGGGCTTCGGACTATAAGCCCGAAAAGCGCAATTCACACTCACTATTGCAAGCTGGATTTATTCATTGTTCTTCTGACATCAGCGGTGTTTGAAATCAAATGTATCACTGTTAACTGTCAGTGCCAGCTCTCTCATTTCTCTTCCATGTCAGCAAGAAGAATTTTGTAGTGCACTGATTACGTTTTTGTTCCCTACTATTCCATCATTCGAGGTGTAATATTTCGCACCTGCTTTTTAGTCGAACCTATGATAGCGAAAAAATGGGTTCTCACTTGTACGTTAGGAAAACCGTTGGCTTCGGAGTGTCGAAAATCCGATATCGGAATTAGTTTCATATGGTATTTTAGACGGATATGTCGATTTCATTTCTCTGTACCTTCATTAGTGTCCCCTACAACTGATGAGACGGTAGATGCGAACGCTTGGCCAGACCAGGGCGTGCAGACGCTTTTGAGGATGCGCACCCAGAACAAATTTCACATATGAGGATGTCTCGGCTCACCTAGGTGCAGGTACACGCCGCGCCGGCCTCTTGAGCTCGATCTTGTCACTGGTTTTCTTGACTTCCTCTGTGCTCACGTGGGTAAATAGGAGGGAGTGTGCAGATGCAGTACAAGAATACTACCACTATGAACTAATTCACGCTCAAGTCATCGTCCCTGCATCCAGCATTGTCAGAATCGACCGTCCAACTGTTCTACAGTCGGTGACGTGTATTTAGGATTAGAAATACACCAAAGTGAGGTTGAAATACTAATCGTCCTGCAGGATAATCCCACGATACTTTGGCCTCGCCAGAATTTTGGTTGCTGAATCCACGTATTTTAGGTCTCTTGAATAACGTGCGCTCAAAAATGCCCATTCAAGTAGTATGTGGTTTTCATATCAATTTTCTATGCCGTTATAAGTGTAGAATTGTTGTGCAAAAAAAGATTCTCAAAAATATGTCCTTCTTGTACTCAGTTGGTAACCAATGACGCTTTTTTTCAAATTAAACGCTCAAAGAAAGAATACCTGTACGTTTAGAAAGTTTCTGATTTTGAATTTTTTTGAAATCCTGGAAATTTTTATCGTACCTGTCCGTTTATTAATGAACTTCATGTAGTATGCAACTTAGTTCGCATTCAATGCAAAGTTTCATGAGCTATTCATTGTATCTTCCTAAATGCATATGGGAATATGGATTTGCCTTATGTGAAAAGTATACACCTTGAATATTGAAATTTCTGAACGCAAATGCAACGGCAGATTGAATTCAAAATCATTCGCAGATTGAGAATTTTTTAAAACGGAAACATACTCTTTCTTCGAACATAAAATTTGAAGAAAGCGTCATTTTCTGCCAAATGAGCATAGGAAAAAATATCCTTGAGCATGGTTTCTATGAAATGTATTTGAACTTATAGGGCCTCAAAATTCCGTATGAACATTTCGAATCCCAAATAGTCCTTTTTAGCGAGTGTGCTATTTATAGGTCAAAAAGACATGAACGAAAAAAAATTACATCCTGGCGAGTCCGACATAGTATGGGACTCGGTGGCATGCTAATCAATAGTAAAACCCCAACTAGGTAATTCTTTGAATCAAAATCGCATTTCACAATTTAGACTAACATTTTCTGAGGTCGAACACCGACTGTATATCTCCGTTATTTGCATATACGTCCACTTATTAGTGTCTATGTCATATAACTGGTCATCTTATTGTAGCACGTGGGCCAAGTAGCAAACATAATTTATTTGCTGCTGCTGTTTTTTCAATAATGTCTTATTCTAGGGTTCACATTCTTTTATTAGTTGTATGACTGCGTTGTAACTTATTGTAGAATTAACAATTTAATAGAGATTTTGTATGTGGCTGGCTTTTCTCTAGATTATTGCTAAAACATTGCATGTATTTTGCGCATAGGCTGTTTTGTGCGGTTACTGGCATTAAAATGTTTGTTCCCTTGAACAGTAATTATGCAGCTACCTGATTTTTGGATATTTAATTTATTTGGAGGGATTTCTTGGAATTTTCGCTCGTCCAATCCAAAAAATCCATACTTTTACCGCCCCAGTTGAAAATATGTTCTCAAGTCTGTCTTTCTGGGGCTCCTATGCCTAACTTAAACCTTTGTGGGCTCCTTTTGACGCAACAGAAATGCACTACTGACCAACATGCTTGTTATTTCCTTCTGTGGACTGTCTAAGGTTGATCCGACGGAACCTCGGAGGACTAAGTAGCCACGCACATGAGATAAACTATACTGATGTAACACTGCTGAACACATCAACAGTTATTAAGCTAAAAAAAACAACGTAATTACCAGGTAGTCTAATGGATCCTCTGGTCGCTGCTTTACGCATTCCAGAATCCCAGAGCACAACGTCGGCATAATGTACTGTTGGAGATAAGCCCGCAAGGGCTGCGAAGCCGCAAGGAGCGCGCTCTCTTCATCCCGCTTCACTTTCTCCAACATACTCGCCTAGAAGGGTACAAATGACACGATATAACAATCCATCCGTTTCGCAATAATTAAATCAGATTGGCCAGCAGCCCCGAAGGAGTTCACAATACATTAGGAAAAACTGTAGGAACATAATAATCAGTAATTTGAGAAAAAGTGATCATTCCCAAGTCTATCAATTCTGTTCTTCCAAATAGACAGCTGAAGGACAGTGTTTCTCAACTGGCCTAATCTCAGGGCAGAATTCTCGCTCGGAGCCCTCATGGAGAACCATCAACGA